CCAAGAAACCAAACCAAATGAATCAGTTGATAAATGAAAGCCGAGGCACCAAACCACATGAATCATTTGATTAATTAATGCTGTGTCTCACTCCTCTTCCACCCTTACATCTCTGAACCATAGTTGCGGCGCACCAGTGCGCACTGCGCTATGCGCTCGAATGACAGCACGCGCACTGTGAGCCATGCGCAGTGCGCAGTGCCAAGTGCGGTCCGCTGTGCGCGGTGTGCGCGCTGGTGCGCTATGTGCGCGATAAATAAGTTTAAAAAAAAAAAAAAAGGGCCCCAAGAGAGAGAGAGAGAGAGAGAAAAGGGTCCCCTTTATGTCAATTCGAGGGCCCCTGCAGGTACCACGAATGGCTCCTGCAATGCATGTGGAGCTATTGAGGGCCGCTGCTTCAATGAGAAGGATGGCCTCGTCATGCACGAAAGACATGGGGGCAGACCACCAATATATGCTGTGGACTCGAGTTCAGGGCTGTAACTCGGCAGTTATGGGTCACCAGTTCAGCTAGACTCTGTTCGTGTCTCCAGGTGATTCTCAGGGCCTCCCTCCACCACTCACCAAATGTATATAATATTAGTAGAATGAATCTTCTGCTAAAACATGGAACCATACACCGCCATATGCTATGTCTTTTGTGCATTTGGTGAGTAGTGGAGCAGGCCCCACTGGACGTATTCGTAAGAAAACAAAAACAAGAAAACGAGAGAGCCACGGGCATCTTCATCCTAACCCGTAACTGCCGACATGCAGACCTGAACGCCAATCTTCAGCATATATTGGTGGTCGTCTGGCCATTGAAAACGTAACTTGTGATCTCTGCGAAGATTCGCGGGGCAGGTCGTTATCAGGGGACTACCCCTTTTGCGAACTTACCCCACCACTATGTGGGATTTGCAGAAGGGAGTGGGAAGAACATCTTTCATACCCCGCCTAAAAAAAAAGATGGAATGAGCCCTATTTTTTAAGTATTTTATGCTTTGCCATTCTGAAACTTTTGGGGGAAGGGCCTGCGGAAATCAAAACTTGGCAGACCTTACCCAAAAGAAAATTTCAAGCTGGGGGCGCGGCCAGTTTCCGAGCTCGCGCGGTGATTTTAACATTTTTGCCGAGTTGGGGTCCCTAAGAAATTACAAAACACCAACTCTCTTTTTTTTTTTTCGTGGACCTAATTTTTCCAGTGCGCTGCGCTTCAGTGCGCTGTGGGGTGCACTGCGAGCGGTGCGCAATTCGTGCGCAAATCCGCGCACCGAGGTGCGCCGCAACTATGCTCTGAACCCAATGATCATCCCCACAACTTTCCCCTGCTTAGCCCTGCATTTACACCCCTTCTCTCTCTCTCTCTCTCTCTCTCTCTCACACACACACACACACACACACACACACACACACACACACACACACACA